CCTACCCCAAGCCTTGGCTTGCACTTTGTAAAAAGCGCACACGTGGCTCAGAAACTTGGGCAACTCTACTGAAATAAGGCAGATTTCACCGTGCAATTTGCTGTCTCTTGGGCTCTCCAGCCCCTTGTAAACAGTAATTAAACTGACAACGTAAGGGAGAGGTAGGGAAGTGTCATCGCCCCTAGTTTAGAGATGAGTAAACAGAGGAAGAAGAGGAGAGTCACACAGCCAAGGTCAGCGAGTGAGTCAGAACTGGGAACAAAAGTAAGAGTCCCAACTCCTGATTTCCACTGCTATCCATCTATGAGTATAAAGAAAGGTTTGGAAAAGGTTCTGAGTTACCACAAGAGGTGGGACAGGGGCTCCGATGGGAAGACAAACTGATCCCCATGCAAATCTGGCTTCAAGTGCCAAGGACTCTGCAGAGATGCTTTGCAAACCGCTGTACAACCTGCCACCACTGCTTTCTCTTTCTCTTTGCACAGGGCACTCTCTCTTCCAGAAGAGCTGCAAGCCCACGCTAGCACTGCAGGGAATGGATACCAGCCGTGGCCTCTGCAGACATCCATTCATACACATGCAAGGCAAGTAATGCTGGCGAGATGGACAGTTCCTCAGCAAACAGCCTAGCAGCATCTGCCACTGCAAGCTGCCGGGTCTCAGGATTTTACTGTGCATCCTGCCCCAGCTCCCAAAACCACATTATCAGGTGAGAGTCTCAGCATTCACATAAAGCTGGAAAACATGACCCCTCAAAACTCAATCAGCAGAAGGCAGATAAAAAGGGCTACTTCTAAAAACTGATGCTTGTCAAGGCAATTGCACCACTCAGGTCTACCATGGGCTTGTGTATTTGTGGTGTGCAATACCACGCGGAGGTACGTGAGCATGGGGCACACTTTGGCTCAGCCAGTTTTGCACCTCTCAAGAAAGAGGCAGTGGCAGCTTAATGAGTCACAGGTAGCTACAAAAATAGCCCCATATGCAGAAGTGCTTGTAGCTCAGCCGTCCACAGTCCCAGAAGATTATAAAGCTGGCAGCACTGCTGCTCAGAACATTTCTTGTGTCTGTCTCCAGGGGAGCACAAGAGTGGGAGTGAGAGTGAAAAGAATGAGAGAACCAGATTCTTTCCGTCTCCATCTGCAACCACTTCCCTCCCAGTTAGATCACTTCAGGAACAATACTGGGATTCAGACGACTGGCTCACAGACCAGAGATGAGTCCTGTTAAGACCTTCACTGCAGCAATACCCAAAATGACACCCCGAGACTATGCAGAAGAGGGACTCAGCTTCCAGATGAGAAACAAAACATGCATCAGAACCAGGCTTCCTGGCAGAAGTATTATTTCTGCATTTTATATGCCTAGGGCACTGCCCTATGTTTCTATATTCTGCAGTGAAAGGTTGAATGTTATTGCTAAATCTGCCATGAGCGACTGGTGCCTCCTGAATTGGGGGGGGGGGGGGG